CAAGTAATTGATTCATTAATAATTTTTACTGTGAATCTTTCAAAATAATTATTATAAATATATTAATAGAATGGAACAAGAGGAAGGATGTAGATTTTGTTTTTTGACTTAAGAGTCTAGAAAACAAATATCTTGAACTTTTTGTATGCGAAATTGCTGGCGGACCATACAATTTGAAATCAGATAAAATTTTGTCTGATAAGTGAAAAGTTTTTTGAGAGCTTCGTGATATGTTTGCAGAAATAATTAGATATTTCATAAAAAATTATAAGGACTGGTTTAATGATAATATAGTAAACAAGCTTTATCAAGTAAAAGTGTATGCTGCTGTTGGATTCAGTAAGTTTAAAAATTATCCATATTATACAATTATTATAACTTTTATTAATTAAGATAATTTATTTTGCAGGATTTCAAATTTCTTTTTATTCATTAGATATGAAAAAGGACTAGATGTTTGTTATCCATTATCTACAATTACTATTCCAAAGTTGAATTCTGAAGTTGGTTATTTGAAGTTAATGATTAAAAATTTTTGAAGCCTCAGAGTAAGATTGGTCATTCAAATTCTACATTTGTACATTTTTTATTTCAAAATTAATTGTTTTATTAACCTTTGTAGAATGCCTTACAAGAAATGATTGAACTGGTTGTTGAAATCGCTGGAAATCTTAAACATCTGTTTGATTCAAAACCTAGTAAGATTGTAAAAAATTTTTACAATATTGGAATAATTATGCTCCGAAAACAGTAACCACACCAAAAATGAATTAATTTAAATAAATTTTTCTAAAAAAGAAGTCATCTTGGTGTCACTAAGAATAGCAAATTTATTTTAGACTAGGACTAGAATTAAATTGTATAGTTTTTTTTAAAATTTAAGAGAAGACGATTAAAAATTTTCAATTATTCATTACTTAAGTTTAACTTTATATAGATAAATGATCTAGAACAAATTTTGGTACAAGATTATTCGTTGTATTTATTAATCAATTCTGTATGTATGTGATTATTAAGATGGGCTTACAATTTAAAGTTATCAAAAAAGTTCTTGAATCAAAAGAAGCATTACCTGAATATAAGATCAACTTAATAAATAAAAGGTGAGATATAAGAGTTTCGAATTCAGAAAGCATATACTGTTAAATAAATTTTTATCAATTTGTATTAGAAGGCTGAAATTAGAGTTGATCTAATCTTGTAAATATGATTTAATATGCATTAATAAATAAAAATAGTTTTTTTGAT